GTAGAGACGGGGTTTCACCATGTTGACCAGGATGGTCTCGATCTCTTGACCTTGTGATCCACCCGCCTCGGCCTCCCAAAGTGCTGGGATTACAGGCGTGAGCCACCGCGCCCGGACCCATACGCATTGTTTTATCCCTTCCAAGCCCACTAAAATAATAGCAAATGGGTATTTTAAGACATAACAGCCTGCAAGAATGGAAGTAACCGCAGAAGAGACAACAGCAACAAAATTTCAGAAGCTGGAAGGCAGATCAAAGTAACTGACTTAACAGCCCCAATAAATTGCTTGTAAGTTATTTAAAAAGTAGGTCGGACTGGAAGGGGTAGCTTACAACTGTAATCACAACACTTTGGGAGGCCAGGTAAGGAGTATGACTTGAGGCCAGGAGTTTGAAACCAGCCTGGGCAACAGTAAGACCCCTTCTCTACACAAAGTCTTTAAAAGCCACATGGTGGCCTGCAGTCTCAGCTACTCAGAAGGCTGAGGCTGGAAGATTGCTCAGACCCAGGAGTTTGAGGCTGCAGTGAGCTATGATGGTGCCACTGCCAGCCTGGGTGACAAAATGAGACCTTGTCTCTAAATAATAATAATAAAGTAAAAAACAGGTGGACTCCTAGATACTCTCCATAATTCTGCACCAATTGGCAGCCGCCCATCTCCCATCCCCAGCTTCTAAAGACTGAGCCTGGCTTTGGAAGGGCTAAAACAAGTCTTTAGCCTGAGGTTTACTGGCAGTTAAGAACCTCTAATACAGAAGCAGGGTAATAATCACTATATGCATACTAAATGCTCGATGAGTTTTTACACGTGCATATACCTGTGTTACCAACACCTAGATATGGAACACTTCTGGCACTCCAAAGGACTAAAGATGCTGTTTTTAGAAAGGATAATTAATTAAAAACAAGATAAAAACTCAGTAGAAATGTTGAAAGATAAAGCTGGGGAAATCTCAGAAAACAGCAAATAAAACCAAGCAAAAAAGAGGTAGATGACAAATCAGTAAGTTCAACATTCAAATAATAGGATTCCAGATGGAGAACAGAGAAAAACGGGGGAAAATCATCAACAAAGTAATTTTTTAAATAATGTCTCAAAAATTTGAGAACAGAAAGTATCATGTTCCAAGAGGGCCAAATCCAGGTGTGTCATTGAGAAATTTCAGAATGCTGGCGACAAATAGGAGATCATACAAGGATTCAGGGCAGTGGGAGGGACAAATAACATAAAACAGATTACATATGAAGAATCAGCAGTCAGAAAGCCTTCATAATTCTTAAACAGCAACAGTGTAAGCTAAAAAAACAATGTCAGTGACTGATATTCCCAAAATTCTAGAGGGAAATTGTTTCCAAATGAGAACTGTAACCCAGAAAACCAAAAAGGGCCATTCAAATAAAGTAGAAATTTTGCCCAGGATTTTGTCAGCACATTGTCAGCAGCCGTCCCTATTTTTGTTGGTGAGGAAGGAGACCCAGGCATCTGGGATCACCTCCCACTCTGTCTTCCACATTGCATTTCAATAGGAGAAAAGCCTGGCCGACTGGTGCCTCCTGAATCACCTTCCTGTAAATAACACGCTTGGTATTGGGGAAACTCTCCGGAAGACTGTTTTCACTTAAACAAGATCAAGCCCGCCCCTCACTCCATCAGGAGACCAGAACCTTTTCACATGTGATTCCTAAAACTGTAAACCCGAAACATTTTCACATGTGATTCCTAAAGCTGTAAATTCAAAACCCTTGTACTCTGATTTCTAAGGCTGTAAACCTGAGATTCTTTCACATGTAATATCTAGAGTGTAAGCCTACATAAGGCAAAACCCTTCTTTGCTAGACGAGCTGGGTTTAGATAAATCATCGCCCGGCTCCCAGCCGTAATAATAGACCCCTTCCTTCCCCGTTCGGTGTTGGAGAGCTCTGTTTCTCATGGCTGCTCCTGCTACATTAGTAACTGCCTCTTTTTGCTTCTGTACTTCAGCTTACTGCTTACTAACTGGAAAACCTTAAGAGAAACTGCTCTAAAACCTGCTGCGTTGTCCAAAGTCCTGAGTTACTTCCCCTGCCCCTTTACCTATAAAAACTGTGTACTTTTCTTAGCCGGGTTCCAGATTTTTTGGATGTGAACCCTTCTGGGCCCACCAGCAATGTGATATTGTGCTGGCCTGGAGCCAGAACCTGAGCAACGCTATTTTTATAAAATGCAAAACTGTTTTTAAATAAGTTGCAATGGCTGCCCCATTCTCCTCACATAACTACTGTTCTTGGCCGCTGTAAATAGAACTGCTAGTTTGTTCTGCAAAACTATGTAAAGCTGCTTACCTTTTCTTATCAGTAACTGCTAAAATCTGTGACTTCTATCACCACCCAGACAATGTGTAAACAAATGTATATCTTGACTTCTGTAAACCACTGAGATAACAAACCGAATGACAAAAAGTCCCCTAGACCTTGGAATGTCCGGAGACCCCCTGCCCTTATCTCCACCCAGGAGGTGAATCACAGAATCCCCTAGCCCTTGGAATGTCCGAAACCTTTTCATCCCCATCCCCGCTCTTCACCCCCACTCCCAAGGTGGTTTTTCGGGTATAAAAAGTCGTGGCACCCTCCTTTTGACACCACAGGTTGGAGAGACGTGAGTCCTCTGTGGTCACCGGCATAATAAATGACCCTGCAATCTGGCATACTTTTGTCTTGGTGCTAACTTTCTACGCTCCGGCCATTACAACAGTAATAAAGTGTGTTCCTCCCATCCCCTGAGTGCCGCTTGGGTTTCTTGTCAGGTAAGATTTTCCACAACACAAGTAACATTTTTGAAAATGTAAAATCTCAAAAAATTTATCTTCTGTGCCCCAATTCATGGGGAGCTACCAGATGCCTTACATGAAACAGGATGTAAACCAATTAATAATAAGATACAGGCCAGGCGCGGTGGCTCAAGCCTGTAATCCCAGCACTTTGGGAGGCCGAGGCGGGTGGATCACGAGGTCAAGAGATCGAGACCATCCTGGTCAACATGGTGAAACCCCGTCTCTACTAAAAATACAAAAAATCAGCTGGGCATGGTGGCGCGTGCCTGTAATCCCAGCTACTCAGGAGGCTGAGGCATGAGAATTGCCTGAACCCAGGAGGCGGAGGTTGCGGTGAGCCGAGATCGCGCCATTGCACTCCAGCCTGGGTAACAAGAGTGAAACTCTGTCTCAAAAAAAATAATAATAATAATAATAAGATACAGAAAAACACAGGATCTAATTTAGCAGAGAAGCAAAGGAAATTTGCAGGTTATGGATAAAAGAAATCTCAGGTTGGCAGGGCTGAATCTGGAGGAGTGGTAGGGTCAGGCAGGCATTGCTGTTTTTCAAGATCAGCTATTTGAAGCTTTTTGACTAAACCACATATAGTGTAACTTTGTTAAAAACACTTTACATTTAAAAACATTTTTTTTAAGAGGGGAAAGTAATTAGCTATAAACCTGTTAATTTTTTTCTTTCAAAATAACTTAGCAGTCAACACTAACAAAAATAGAAAACAAATTAATACCATACAAACATACAAATGAAGTATTTAAACTGCAAAAATGCTTCAGGAATATTCATTGTATATAATTACTAAATTTTTTTTTTTTTTTTGAGATGGAGTGTCTGTCACCAGGCTGGATCACTGCAACCTCTGCCTCCCAGGTTCAAGTGATTCTCCTGCCTCAGTCTCCCAACTAGCTGGGACTATAGGCATGCGCCGTCACACTCAGCTAATTTTTTTGTATTTTTAGTAGGGACAAGGTTTCACCATGTCGGCCAAGATGATCTTGATCTCCTGACTTCATGATCTGCCCGCCTTGGCCTCCCAAAGTGCTGGGATTACAGGTGTGAGCCACCACGCCTGGCTACTAAATTGTTCTTAATTAGCCTCTTATTAAAGAAACCATTTCTATCTGCAAACAATGTAAACCTAGATGAAGCTAAGATACAGAGGTACACAGGGTTGCACTAGCCAAGCCGATTCCAAGAATGCATCAAGGAATATATATTGACTTAGTTGTCTACCACTTAATAAACATGAAACTAGGTACAGAATAATGATTAAAAGTAATTTTGGGCTGGGCATGGTGGCTCACACCTGTAATCTCCGCACTTTGGGAGGCCGAGGCAGGCAGATCACATGAGACAAGGAGTTCGAGACCAGCCTGGCCAACATGGTGAAACCCGGTCTCTCCTAAAAATACAAAAATTAGCTGGGCGTGATGGTGCACACCTGTAATCCCAGTTACTCAGGAGCCTGAGGCAGGAGAATCGCTTGAACCTGGGAGGTCTTGCGTGCCACTGTACTTCAGCATGTGGAACAGAGTGAGACTCTGTTTCAAAAAAATACATGCAAAAAGGTAATTAAAAAAACACTTTGTTGACAGCTATATTAGCTACCGGCACCATACTTGTTCAATTATTTCATTTTTCTTTTAACACAATATTCCTACTTTAAAATCATGTATTTATGTTTACTTAATGTCATAAGAAATAAAAACCTTTTACTTCTTTTAGAAGAAAATATCTTAGGAGGGCAACGCTGCGGAAGAAGAGATAGCAGTCACTGACATCACCCAAAACCGGCTTCCTCTTTGAGGTTTTCTCATGAATCTAGTTTAATTACCACAAAGGAACCCTTTCCCCTGCCACTTCCCCTTCCTATGGAAGCCAAGGAAAAATTATAAAGTAAATGACTTCCCCTTTCATCATCAGAAGGAAGCTAGGAGAAAAGCAGAGGCAGAGCTACTGGCAGAGTTATAAAAGGGTCTAGGGATTGAAATGCAGTTGTCAGCCAGGATCAGGAACACACACCAAATCTCCAAGTACAGTAAAATTATATTTCCATGCAAAAAGGTTAATCTGAAATCTTATGCCTACCTTTTCATTAGGTAAACATTTACCCCAGTACCAAAGCCAAGCTTCTGCATAAACGGAGAGGCCGGGATATTTATAGTTGGAGTTGAACATAATACTAAATGTCAGAGAAATAAAAAACAAAATTAGGATTTGAAAAGACCTCTACAAAAGCATCTTAACATTCTAAGTATACCACTGCCAAAAGTATTATTGACATAGTCTTTCTGGAGAGCAATTTGACATCTACTCTAATTTTAAATGGGTGTACCTGTGGGAATAGATGACCAGGGCAGACCTGTGTTATTTACAGTTAAATGATTACAAGCTTGCTCTCCTTTAATTCACTGAGATTTGTGCCACGGATCATATCCAAACTATGGTGCAGTAACAAAAGCAGAGATCAAGCGGTAACAGGAGGCCTGTGGTAAAGAACATCTGAGAGCGTCTGTAACAGCGGAACACTGTGATGTGGCTGCAGAGCAGAAAAAACTGCTTTGGTCCCACAGCGTTTCCCAACATAGAGTTTGTGTGAGGATCTCCTAAAGGGAGCTTATGCAAAACACTCTGGGAAGTAATGCAACCTTGCGCAGATGGGTGCTGGTAGGCCAGAAGGCCTTACAGGGCACAGAGACACCAGAATGCCACAGGCTCTGCCTATGGTATCAGAATATGGAGCCATTCCGATTGCTCTGTGTCCACAACGGTCGGGAGATAAAAGCCCCTTGATGCATTTTGTGTGTGGTCGACCTTATGGCACCTTATCCCTATACCTGTTGCCAAAGCACCTGGTTGGACAATGGGTGGTAAAATCTCAGTGTCCTTAGTCTGCTCTTGGATGTGGCAGATACATCCTCTTCCCCCCCAACTCCATCTTCCTCCTCAACCCCCCTCCCCACAGCCTGCAAGATTAACAAGATAATACACCTTAAAAGCACTTGGAGCCCAAAGCTCAAGGCCAAGGCTGATCACCCTGCGAGAGTGCACTGGACCCCTGGACCCATGCTTTAAAATTCTATTCTTGTGTCTTTGTCTTTCTTTTCTCACTCCCTGGTCATGGCCGGGACGTGGGGCACCCATGCGCAGGGTTGGGCTGGTTCCCAACATATACCCTTTGACCAAGTTTGTGGAGTTTTCTCCTACAGTAACACTGAAGCAGAGAGTTGGAAAATGGCCTGTTTTTGTAGGCCTTCAAGCTAAGAACTGCTTTCACATTTTTAAAGCATTGTTAAAAGATAAATGGGTTGGATGTGGTGGGTCATGCCTATAATCTCAACACTTTTGGAATCTGAGGCAGGAGGATCACTTCAGCCCAGCAGTGTGAGACCACCTTGGGCAATATAGAGAGAGTCCATCTCTACAATTTCTTTTTTTTTCTTTTTTGAGACGGAGTTTCACTCGTTACCAGGCTGGAGTGCAATGGCGCGATCTCGGCTCACCGCAACCTCCGCCTCCTGGGTTCAGGCAATTCTCCTGCCTCAGCCTCCTGAGTAGCTGGGAT